CACAGTCCATAATCCTTCCAAGGTAGTCAATGTCATATTCACATGTCAAATAGGGGCACTGTGGCCCTAGGGCCACATCTTTTTCTTTTCTTTTAGTTTTGAATAAAATTCAGACCTACTGAAAAAGTTACAAATTTGTTAAAAGAATTCTCATATATTCTTCAGAAAGAGTCCCAACATTAACATTCCATCAGACTGGTTTTATCATTCTCTCTATATATAATACAGTGTATCAAAGTTAAAAAATTTTCATTAACACAGTATTATCTAATTCTCAGAATGTATCAATTATCCCACTGTTTTCCTTTATAAAGAAAGAAAACCAAAATTTTCTTATGATCCAAGATGCCACATTTCTTCAATCTCTTTCGATTTTAAACATACCTTCAGTCTTTTATAATTTTTTTAATAACTCTTAACAGTTTTGAAGAGTACATGACTAATATTTTCTAAAATGTTCCTTGATTTGAATTTGCTGATATTTCTCCATAATTAGATTCTGGTCATGCATTTTTGGCAAAAATTTTACAGTTGAGATGCTGTATTCTTCTCAGTACATCATATCAGCAGGCACATGATATTAATTTGCCCCCATACTGGTGATACTAATTTGACTACTTGTTAAGGTATTATCTGCCAGATTTCTTTACTATAAAATTACTATTTTCCTCCTATGCCTCTGTTTTGTTCCATTGGTCTATATCTCTGTTTTGGTACCAGTACCATGATGTTTTGATTACTGTAGCCTTGTAGTATAGTTTGAAATCTGGTAGTGTGATGCCCGCCACTGTGTTCTTTTTGCTTAGAATTGACTTGGCTATGCGGGCTCTCTTTTGGTTCCATATGAAGTTCATGGTGATTTTTTCCAGTTCTGTGAAGAAAGTCAATGGTAGCTTCATGGGGATAGCATTGAATCTGTAAATTACTTTGGGCAGTATAGCCATCTTCACGATATTAATTCTTCCTAACCATGAACATGGAATGTTTCTCCATCTGTTTGTGTCCTCTCTTATTTCGTTGAGCAGTGTTTTGTAGTTTTCCTTGAAGAGGTCCCTTATGTTCCTTGTGAGTTGTATTCCTAGGTATTTTATTCTTTTTGTAGCAATTGTGAATGGCAGTTCGTTCTTGATTTGGCTCTCTTTAAGTCTGTTATTGGTATAGAGGAATGCTTGTGATTTTTGCACATTGATTTTATATCCTGAGACTTTGCTGAAGTTGCTTATCAGTTTCAGGAGTTTTTGGGCTGAGGCGATGGGGTCTTCTAGGTATACTATCATGTCGTCTGCAAATAGAGACAATTTGGCTTCCACGTTTCCTATTTGAATACCCTTTATTTCTTTTTCTTGCCTGATTGCTCTGGCTAGAACGTCTAGTACTATATTGAATAGGAGTGGTGAAAGAGGGCATCCTTGTCTAGAGCCGGATTTCAAAGGGAATGCTTCCAGTTTTTGCCCATTCAGTATGATATTGGCTGTTGGTTTGTCATAAATAGCTTTTATTACTTTGAGATATGTTCTTTTGATACCGAGTTTATTGAGGGTTTTTAGCATAAAGGGCTGTTGAATTTTGTTGAATGCCTTCTCTGCATCAATTGAGATAATTATGTGGTTTTTGTTTTTGGTTCTGTTTATGTGGTGAATTATGTTTATAGACTTGTGTATGTTGAACTAGCCTTGCATCCCTGGGATGAATCCTACTTGTTCATGACGGATACGTTTTTTGATTTGCTGTTGCAATCGGCTTGCCAATATTTTATTGAAGATTTTTGCATCTATGTTCATCATGGCTATTGGCCTGAAGTTTTCTTTTCTTGTTGAGTCTCTGCCGGGTTTTGGTATCAGAATGATGTTGGTCTCATAAAATGATTTGGGAAGGATTCCCTCTTTCTGGATTATTTGGAATAGTTTCAGAAGGAATGGTACCAGCTCCTCTTTGTGTGTTTGGTAGAATTCGGCTGTGAACCCATCTGGACCTGGGCTTTTTTTGTGTGGTAGGCTCTTAATTGCTGCCTCGACTTCAGACCTTGTTAGTGGTCTATTCATAGTTTCAGCTTCTTCCTGGTTTAGGCTTGGGAGGACACAGGAGTCCAGGAATTTATCCATTTCTTCCAGGTTTACTAGTTTATGTGCATAGAGTTGTTTTTGATATTCTCTGATGATGGTTTGAATTTCTGTGGAATCTGTGGTGATTTCCCCTTTATCATTTTTTATTGCATCTATTTGGTTGTTCTCTCTTTTCTTTTTTATCAATCTGGTTAGTGGTTTGTATATTTTGTTGATCTTTTCAGAAAGCCAGCTCTTGAATTTATTGATTTTTTGAATGGTTTTTTGTGTCTCTATCTCCTTCAGTTCTGCTCTGATCTTAGTTATTTCTTGTCTTCTGCTAGGTTTAGAGTTTTTTTTATCTTGCTCCTCTAGCTCTTTCAATTTTGACGATAGGGTGTCAATTTTGGATCTCTCCATTCTCCTCATGTGGGCATTTATTGCTATATATTTTCCTCTGGAGACTGCTTTAAATGTGTTCCAGAGATTCTGGCATGTTGTGTCTTTGTTCTCATTGGTTTCGAAGAACTTCTTTATTTCTGTCTTTATTCTATTGTTTATCCAGTCAACATTCAAGAGCCAGTTGTTCAGTTTCCATGAAGCTGTGCGGTTCTGAGTTGGTTTCTGAATTCTGAGTTCTAACTTGATTGCACTATGGTCTGAGAGACTGTTTGTGATGATTTCAGTTGTTTTGCATTTGCTGAGGAGTGCTTTACTTCCAATTATGTGGTCAATTTTAGAGTAGGTGTGATGTGGTGCTGAGAAGAATGTATATTCTGTGGATTTGGGGGAAAGGATTCCCTGTTTAATAAATGGTCTTGAGAAAACTGGCTAGCCATGTGCAGAAAGCAGAAACTGGACCCCTTCCTGACACCTTACACTAAAATTAACTCCAGATGGATTAAAGACTTAAACATAAGACCTGGCACCATAAAAACCCTAGAAGAAAATCTAGGCAAAACCATCCAGAACATAGGAGTAGGCAAGGACTTCATGAATAAAACACCAAAAGCATTGGCAACAAAAGCCAAAATAGACAAATGGGACCTAATGAAACTCCACAGTTTCTGCACGGCAAAAGAAACAGTCACTAGAGTGAATTGGCAACCAACAGAATGGGAAAAAATTTTTGCAGTTTACCCATCTGACAAAGGGCTGATATCCAGAATTTACAAATAACTCGAACAGATTTACAGGAAAAAAACAAACAAGCCCATTCAAAAATGGGCAAAGGATATGAACAGACACTTTACAAAAGAAGACATATATAAGACCAACAATCATATGAAAAAATGCTCATCATCATTGGTCATTAGAGAGATGCAAATCAAAACCACATTGAGATACCATCTCACGCCAGTTAGAATGGCGATCATTAAAAAATCGGAGACAACAGATGCTGGAGAGAATGTGGAGAAAAAAGAACACTTTTACACTGTTGGTGGGAGTGTAAATTAGTTCAACCATTGTGGAAGACAGTGTGGTGATTCCTCAAGGCGTTAGAAATAGAAATTCCATTTGAGCCAGCAATCCCATTACTTGGTATATATCCAAAGGACTATAAATCGTTCTACTATAAGGATACATGCACACGAATGTTCATTGCAGCACTGTTTACAATAGCAAAGACCTGGAACCAACCCAAATGCCCATCGATGATAGACTGAACTGGGAAAATGTGGCACATATACACCATGGAATATTATGCAGCAATCAGAAATGATGAGTTTGTGTCGTTTGTAGGAACATGGATGAATCTGGAGAACATCATTCTCAGCAAACTGACACAAGAACAGAAAATGAAATACCATATATTCTCACTCATAGGAGGGTGATGAAAAATGAGAACACATGGACACAGGGAGGAGAGTACTAAACACTGTGGTCTATTGGGGGAAAAGGGGAGGGCCGGGGGTGGTGGGGAGCTGGGGAGGGATAGCCTGGGGAGAAATGCCAAATGTGGGTGAAGGGGAGAAAGGAAGCAAAACACACTGCCATGTGTGTACCTATGCAACTGTCTTGCACGTTCTGCACATGTACCCCAAAACCTAAAATGCAATAAAAAATTTAAGAAAAAAATAAATAAATAAATAAAATTACTATTTTCCATTTGTAATAGTACTTGATAAGTGTCTTGTGAAAGATATAGACAATATATGAGTCCTGTTTCTCATAATATTTTTACCTTCTAGTTTTGGTATCTATTGATGTTTCCTACCCAAAATAATTATTAAGATGAGTTTTAAAATTCTATCTTTTTTTTAATCTATGGACTGGAATTTTGCTGTCTGAAGGACATCCCCCACTGCCATTTATTTACATCAGCGTATATACATGGATTCTTATTTTAGTTTATGGGAAATAATCTGTTAATATCATATTTTGTTTTATAAATTGTCTTGAATTTGGCCAATGAAGGCCACTTCAAGTTTCTTCTTATAGTTTTACATGTCCTATCATTACTTGAGAACTTTCTTAATTTTTGCACAAAAGATTTTCCAGAATCATTTTGTACTCTTCAGCTGTTAGCCCTGGAATGATAATTATCTCTCCCTTCAAGGACTCATAATTTCCGTTACTTATTTAAAGAAAGGTCTTTAAATAAGACAGGTGTGGGTGTGCTCACTGCTTCTGAGGTATAACTGATTCTAAGCCCTCTTATAAGAGAACTGGAAAATATGTTTGCATAAGCATATCTATACTGATTATCTCATCTATCTGTCTATCTATCTATCTATCTATCTATCTATCTATCTATCTATCTATCTATCTATATCATTTGTCTAAATTGATAAGCATTTAAACATGGTAATACCTGGATTTTAAGTTGTGAAGACGGTCCTCACTTTATAGTCCTGGTAAATCTATGCTTGAAATAATTTAATATCCTTTTGTTAAAATTGTTTAACTTTAATTTCCAAGGTTTTCAGTGTGTTTTTCTGACTTTTAATCCTGGAGGTTAACACCAGATGGTGACATCACAAATCTAAAATTACGAGTATAGAGAAGTAACATTTCAAAGGGACCACAGAGGAATTTTTTGGAAAACCTATAGACGGAATCATGGTCTTCTCAATCCTTTTTGATTTGCAATTATGTAAGTATCTAGGGAATATATATTACCACCATAATTATACCAAATCTGGTTGTAGAATTACTAATTCCTTGGAGGCATAGATGGCTGAGGGTCAAGTTCTGCCACAGAACTGGTCGCAATTCCATACTCAATAGAGCTCTATGCACTATATCAACGATTGGCAAATTGCAGCCACACACATTCATTAATGTATTGTCTATGGCTGTTTTTCTGCTACAACGGCAAAATTGAGTCATTGCTACAGACTGTAGGACTTGCAAAGTCTGGAATATTTACTGCCTGATCCCTTACAGAAAAAGTTTATCGACTCCTCTACTAGATATTCCGGAGCCCTAGCATTGAGAAGTTTCTTTTTGTCACAAATATGTACACATACACACACATGCACACCACTGCAAGAAAATGATATCAAAAGATACTTTACACATAGTGCTGGCTGAGGAAAAAATACTATCAATGGCTGGCTCCATAAAATATTGATGCAATTGAGTTGGCATGAAGGTCTCTTCTTAGATTTCAAAGTATGTTATAGCCAGACAGTTCATCAGCTTAGTCTGCCTATTCATTCTGTGTCGCATGCAACCTCTTTGGTAATTGAGCAAACAAAAGTGAGCCTCCAAATATGGAAGCCCATGTCAATTCTGTATGACTTATCAGTTTGGCTTTGCAGTGCTGTTAGAAGTTGAACTTTTGTATTTTTAAGAATATGTCTGCATTTCTCATTAATTATTTTGAGACCTAAAGAGGAAGGGAGACATTCTTTGGAAAGACTATGAACACAATACTAAGTTAAAAGCTGTGTGGAATGGTGTGATGTCTGCTGGTAGTGCCAAATTACTGCATGGTTGATCCACTTGCCAAAGTCAATATAACTGCAGAAGCAACTCAGTTCCCCTTTGTTCCACCCATAATCATATGTAGAGAGCTATGAATAACAGAAATATAATTTAATGATGGTTTCTTCTTATTTATATTGGTCATTCAAAGAAAAGAATCTTGACATTGACTTGATTTTTTTGATACCCCTTTTACTTTATGGTGAACTAAAATATTGAGGCTATGACTCCAAGCTTCCATGACTGCAATCTTTGCCCCAGGGCTCTCTGAACATTCTATGGGTGCTATGAAATAGTCTTTCTGGAGTCAAAATATTCTGTGTCAAAAATCTATCCTTCTTTGTTTTCTGATGACTCAGGTTGCTACTTACTTTGTGCACCTATTCAGACGTATTATGTTTTTATGTCCGTTTCCTTTACCTGCCATAAAGCACCATCACTGTGCTGCCTGCTAAGCTTTTTGTCTTAGGGGTGATGAGGAGGACACACACAAACACAGGCACCAAGGTTAACTCTTTGACTGCTTGAAAGCAACACTTCCTAGACCTGTCTGAGATTCACATTTAGAAAGTGACAATCTTAGTTTTACAAGACAAGACTTTTCAATCTCTCCTTGGGTCAGTTCCCACAATCCATGCGTTCCATGGGTGAAAACTTTGTTTCCTCATATTATACATTATTAATCTTAAAGGACTGCAGCTTATAAATAAGTAGAAGCAAACACCACAAGACTGTAAGAAAGTAAGAATGCTACTTCTTTATGTAATTGTAGCAACAGTCTTCCAAATATATTTAACATGCAGATATCCATTATTAGCTCTTTTATTAATCGTAGTGATATTGCTATTTTCTGTTTCATGCTTTATCCACAAGTCTTAATACAAAATACACATTATCCAAATCATCTGAATGTCTCTATCTGAAAGTCCATTAGTTCTGAGTGGCACTTGTCACTCATGGTCTTCCCAAATCTACTTAATGAACCTCATACCCTTGAGAATGTTCAAAGATGAAAGCTTTTAAAAATGTTATTTTATCCCAGAGTTTTTGCATCTTTGAAACACCGAATCTAATCTGTAACACTTGAGGCCAGATATTTTTTTGAATTAAGGATATTTTAGAATTTAGAAAGATGTATGCTGAATGTACTGTGTATATTAAATATTATAATAACCTTGGTGGGGCCTGGGGTAACTCCTGTAATCAAACAAAGCAGAATTTCTTTAGTGAATCATATAAATATTTCTAGCAGGATAAATAAATAGAAACTATAAATAACCTCATATCAATTATGAGAAGTTTATACCACTGATACCAAAGGATTTCAGGTCAGTTCAGGTTTTGCTGTCAAATACTTTTTGAAAACTTTAGATTTGGCCATTAAAAATAAGAAATTGTTGATCCATACCAGGGGTCAGCATGTTTTTTTTATAGAAAGTGCCAAATAATAACTAATTTAGGCTTTGCAGGTTACACTGTCTCTGTCCCAATATCAAATTCTACTGTTTGTCCCTTAGATAATATGTAAATGGGTGCGACTATGTTCCAATAAAACTTCATTTACAAAAACAGGCTGTGGGTTAGATTTTTCCTGTGGGCCAGATTTTGCCTGTAGGCCATACTTTGTCAAGCTCTGATCTGGATTATCTTTATTGTTTTAAATTATATACCTTGTGTATTACAGTGTCTAGTTTGTAACGATTTCTTTGAATTAACATTTTTAAGAATAGAAAGACTTCTTTCAAAAGAGGAAGAGATTTCTATAGCTTGTCATCTCTATCCTGCTACCTCTTGTTAATTTCACAATGAAAAAATGCATGGAAAATACTACATAGCTCTGTAATAGTACCTAGATCTGAGTGTGGTCTAGAATTTAATTTGTCATTGACTTTATTGTTAATATTATGTGAAGTTAACATTTAAAAACATGCAGTAGTTAGAAGCTAGTGGTTTCCACAATTGTGGCTTAGTGATCCTCAAGAAAAATAAAAGTTTTCAAGCTTGACTTTAACTTTCATTGTTCTCTGGCTACAAACACCAGATTGAGCATTTGTTCTCTTAGTATTCCGCTTGCTTTGTTATGTGTTTATTCAATTACAAATGCCAAGAGAAAGTATATGGTTGGACTAAAACAGATGGACAAAATGTAAACTGTAGGAGTTTGTGTTTTTGTCAACATAATATGGAGCAAGACTTTGCTGGGTCAAATTTGAAGGGCTCCTTTGAATAGGCTTGTTCTCTTGGTGGGTGCTATCTGAAACTTTTCATCAAAGTGAGATTAGAGAATAGAGCGGTATTCCCTATAGATGGTCACCCAGTGTGTAGTAGTCTGTTCTCACACTGCTATAAAAAATCCTTGAGACTGGGTAATTATAAAGGAAAGAGGTTTAATTAACTGACAGTTCTGCATGGCTGGGGAGGCCTCAGGAAACATAATCATGGCAGAAGGGGAAGCAGGCACATTTTACATGGTGGCAGGCAAGAGAAAGAAGTAGAAACTGCTACTTATAAAACCATTAGATCTCATGAGAACTCACTCATGATCACAAGAACAGCATGGTGGAAACCACCCACATGATCCAATCACCTCTTATTAGATTCCTCCCTTGACATGTGGGGATTACAATTTGAGATGAGATTTGGGTGGGGACACAGAGCCAAACCATATCACAGGGTATCAAGAAATTATGGGCTCTCAATAGCTGATGGATTGATTATTTGAATGAAATTCAGCTTAAAGGACAAAGTTATACCTTTAAGAAGTGGGAAAAAAATTCTCAACAAACTCTGAGCCATGAGAAGCAGATTCTTTAGTCCAGTGGTGTGAAGCAAATAATTGGGACTACCTTAAGGACATGATGATATTTTTGCCAATTATCTGCTAAGCTGACTGAGCAATGACCCACACTAAGCATGCTGCATATTGCACACTTAGCAACTGATTTAGGCATCTTTTCCTAGCTGCTGCATATGCTTTCTTAAGATGACTTGCTGCCTCCATGTGGGGAGCTGCATTCATGATTGGTCTTAATGAAAATCTGGACCAGATTTTATAATTTGAGGGACAATAATTTATCCTCATTGTAGTGATAATGTTTCAGAACTTGCTAAAATTTAAACAATTCTTAAGGGTATTTTGTTCATTAGCAGTCCCTTCTGCATCATGAAGATATTTCTTCTCATATGGCTTCCTACTTTGACTTTCATGTTAGAAAATTAGCTCCTTGAGAGCTGGAATAGGACTTTTGTATGTCTGTAATCTCAGCTTCTCTGCTGGTACCTGGCATGTGATAAACACTAGACTTTAGAATAAACAAATATGTGTTACTAACATGCAAACATATTGTAATGGCAATTGAAAGATAACCTAGATTAAGGCAATGGGAAATAATATTGGCACTTGTAATTGGAACAGTAATATGGAAACAGAGGACGGTTTGAAAGATAAATTCAATTCTGTTGCTTTAAGCAGATTTGACTTGAAAAACTGTAAAGGAAAGTAAAACAAGAAAAAAATGATTATGGTAGTAATTTCTGCTTAATTTCTCCTAGATTTAACCTGGTTACTAACTGATTTGATTATATAGAGATACAAGAAACTTACATCATTGATTTCTCTTTAAGGACTTTTCACTTAGCAACTGAAAAAAGAAGAGTCACTTGAGCTTAACAATCACCTACTAAGGTAAAAAGAGAAGCTGGAGTTAGGAGGACCAAGCGCAAATAAAGAAGACAATGGGATGTTTCTAAATGATGCAATTACTGACTGAAACAATAGTCTATTAAGATTCTACAGGTATAGATTATACTATATTCTGTTTCCTCTTCTAATCTGAACAAGTCGGAGAGACAATCTCCTGCCTCTCTTCCATCCCATCTGGAAACAAGTCCCATGTAGCAAGCAGACAATGACATCTACCCAGCTGCCAGGACTGTGCAATGAATGAAGCAGCCCCTCAAAAAACTCTGAATGGATTGCCAATTTTTACTATGTTTAAGGCAAGCAGTAATTTCAGTTTTCAATTCCACTAAGTAATAATAGTTATTAATTAGTAAATTAGGCCACTGGGTTCTAGAGGTGAGCTAACAGAATGATTAAAAAAGGAGAGAGAAAAAATTCACAGATAATGCTCAGGTTTCATAGAAGCCTGCCACGATGGAGAGTTTATGTTTGTACATCTCTTCAGAATGGATTGCTGCACTTAAGAGAAACTTACATTGCCTACAGTGCTGTCTGTTCAGTAATTGCAGCAAAGTGAGGTACTGCACCATACATTGTCATAAAGATGTCAAGAAATGAAGGGAGATGTTCGAGGGCTCAGCTTCTAATACTTATATTTTAAATCTGGGGGCATTAAATCCAGGAAGGAGAATTCCTGAGATTTCCCCCACACCACACCAACAAAAGGCTTAGACATTTCCTAAGTAAAGGCTTGACATCAACCCCAGGGAGGATTTCTGGACTCCAGGTAGGTCTAATTCATTTTGGAGGCTAATTTTTTGAGCTTTATATCTCAAACATGATAGCCTTCATGGAGGTTTGTGGACTGTGTTTAAAAGTACTCTCCATGGCTGTACCTGGATAATAACAAAATCCCTGAAATATCATTTAAAACTCCTTAAATACTTGAAATGCTAAAACCGAGGTTTATCTTGCAGAGCTCCAGAGGGACAAAAACGCAGGTAACGTATCTTATGGCTGTTGGAGTGAATTTCTGATACTAAAAGAAGTAGTCAAAAAGTGTGAAAATCAGTCCAACTCATTCTGAAGATACAAAACAGTAGCAATTTTCTGGAGTTAAATGTGATTTATAAAAATTATATGGAGGCAAACCAGATCTATGTGTGAATACAGACTAGTCCTATAATGGCAAAGTGAATTAAATCATTAAGATCGATCTCTGGCTACTCCTTTTAAGAAAAATAGCATATTCTTATTCTATTAAAATTAGCTATCTGCATGAATTTTGTTGATATAAAAAATTGATCTATTTTACTATGCTTTTATAGGAATCAGAAATTAGTATTTCTCAAGACTTTAAGACAAATTTCTCTATCCAATTGTTCTTTCTTTCTGAACACCCTCTCTCTGGGTTATCATTTGTGTTCCCTCAATAGAGATCAGTGGTTGAAGGTTTTTTTGTTCTTCCACCTGGATTGTTCTACTTTTCTTTCTGCTTTTAAAAAATCTTCTCTGAATATTTGCCTTTACAGTTTAAAAAATTACTAGAAGTAGCAGTTCTTTTTAGTCTTACAGAAATGATTAAGCATTTGGCTTCACTACTCACTAGCCGTTCTGACCTTGGGAAAATTGATCAACCTGTGAGTTTTTGTTTCCTCATCTGTAATAGGGGGAGATGTAATACTTACCTCACACAGTGGTTTTGAGTTTCTCTGATGCCCAAAAGACTTGTTCTTAGAGTAAAGAAAGGCAAAAAAAATCTGGAGCTGGTTAGTTGGCACATAGACAAAGCCTTTTTACTGGTATTAGTATTAAACTGGATCAGCTAAGATGTGATCTCTCTAGAGGTAGATTTAGAAGCTATGAATGTGGAGATTGAGTATTTAACTGTGACAGTTGGCACTTGGTAGGTATTTGAGATAGATTTGAGATAGATTAATTTCTTTTCCAGCTCCTTGACCCTATTCTCATCTCAGATGAATACACACAACACACACACACACACGCACACACACACCCCTGTGGTCTGTGGGTGTGGGTGGCTTCAGACCTCCTGTCTATGCTTACCTAACTCTAGTTTCTAAATAAAGTGTAAATTTCCATTTTATGCCATGTGGTCTCATTCTATTGCTTTCTTATTTTATGTTAAATCATTAGGAAATCTCATTTGCCATGAGAATAAATGTTAGGTTGCCCCTCTGGGTTTTGTTGTTTGGAGCCTTCATCTGATTTTGAATCTAATATATAAAGAATATAAGAATCAAACTGTGAATTTCCGTTGGTGGAAGACAAGATTAAACACCTACTAAGAAAGTTTTAAGATATACTGGAAAGGGGCAGGGCAGGGATTGGGAAAGGAAAGAGAATTGACAGTGTTAAGTGGAATCAAGATTTTTAAATAAGATTTGAAATAAGTTCATCAATGTTCATCATAAAAGGTCAATCTAATTTTGTTTTTGAATAACCAACTAACCAACCAACGAAACAAACAAACAAAAAAATAGCGACACCAAAATAACTGGTTAAGGAGATTATGAAACTAGGAGATCATGAATATTTGAACATCAATCCACTGCTCATCAATTGACAGGAAAAAACAAATGTCTCTGTTTTTAATCTAAGGATGTGACATGTAAATTCCTAAGGATTCACACAAGGCTATAAAGTTAAGCAAAGAAGGTGACTAGATTGGAAAAGCATTTGAAGGTTAAGACACTCTCTGGGAGTTTCTTGTTCAGTCATCACTATCACTGAACTTTTCTGCCTTTAAGGATTTGTAATATTTAAATTCAAATTATTCCATCTCTAAAGATACTCAGTGATGTTTTTTGACCACCAGCACAAGGCAGTTTTCTTTATCCCGTCCCCTCCTATTATCACCTATGACATAGCAGTGTGAACAGAGCACAGCCTGGAGTTTCATTCAAGGTCACCTCATGCCCACCATGGCAAGACATTTCGATAACTTGGAATTATTTTAACTAGATATGTTTGTAGCTGTCAGACTTCAATATACATGGTTCATGGAGGCTCAATTTTTTTCTTTAGTAATAGCTCATTGAGCAAACACAGCACACCAGATTACACACCTACACACATACACACACACACGTGTATAAATGTATACATACATACATTTATATATATGTATCTACTTTCCAATAAACTCTTTGGTCCTGAATATCCAATAAAAAATGTTTCTATTATCTTTGCCTCTTTGCATTTCAAAAACTGTAAGAATTTTTGAGACTATTATTGGGGCTTATAGAACGTATCCTCTTGCTTAGATATGACTTTTAGAATTAACAGGTACATCATTTGTCCCAAGGGGAGTTTTCATGTTTCTGGACTATGAAAAAGACTCTGTCAAATCCAATGCAAAATATTGGGTGAAAATTGACAATCGCAGCCAAATCTCTGAAGGTGTGATCTACATTAGGTTATCTATAAAACATTCAAGAAGCCCTATAAGATGTATTCTTAAGGTTTCTTTATATCTCATGGTTTATATCAGTACTTGATTATATATCAATTAAGCTATTGCACCAAATAGAATATGTACACAACCCTAACAGACATCATGGGCAAAACAAAGATATTTTGAGGCATTTACCATGTAACTGAGAAAATAAGGTTTACATAGATGAAACAATTATAAAATTAGTCAGTGACTAATTGGTATTGAAAGGGATAAGTCAAAGTGGGATGTTAATAACAGGTAATAACTTCATGAAGGAGAAAGGATTTAAAGTAAAGGGCTTGTACTTAAATAGAGATAAAAAGGGATTTGGCTACATTTCAATGTGGGCAAATAGCAAGAGAAGTATAGAAATAGAAGTGGACAATGAAAGCCAGCTTAACTAAGTGAGAAGTGAGAGTCGGCAAGGAGTAGGGATAATTTGGATAGTTAAGAAGAAGCCAATTTCTGGAATATCTTGTAAGTCAGCTAATGAAATTTGAGACTCACACAATGAATAATAGGAAGTCTTTGCAATACATTTTTTCAGGAGTCATGTGGCATTATGTAAAAGTGCTATTTCTGCAGTATTGCTCTGACATCATATGCCAGTGTGTCAAGACTCTCATCTCTGGTTCTGGGCAAATTATATGGCAAGGTACAGAAAGAATGTAGAAAATGTTTATGGAGCCCTCACCATTCTTTGGAAAACATTGTGGAAAATTAGAATGGGAATGGGAATTGTACAAGAAATTAGGAAGTCAGAAAATGTTCTGGGAACCAAAAAATAGAAAATGGAAATTCTGGAAACTACATGGCAAAACTACATTCTTAGAATTAATTTCTAAATTCCCATGTTGTGAACAAAAAGAAAAATCAATAATCTATGAATATTGACATTTACACAGGTTCACTATAAACAAGTGATGACAGATGAGACATTTTCATTTTTGATAGCATTAGTGTCACAGGGTGAACCCCAAAATTGGGTTTCAGCCTTAGAAGCCATATGGGTTCTTGGCTTTGTGTGGAGGAATTCAAGAGCAAGTCTATAGATTGAAGTGAAAGCAAGTTTATTAAGAAAGTAAGCGAATAAAAGTGTAGCTACTCCACAGTTAAAGCAGCACCAAGGGCTGCCGGTTGGCTACTTTTATAGTAATATTTTGATCACTTGCTAAACAAGGGGTAGATTATTTATGAGTTTTCCTGGAAAGGGGCTGGCAATTCCCAGAACCGAGGTTTCCTATTTATGAGTTTTCCTGAAAAGGGGCTGGCAATTTCCAGAACTGAGGTTTCCTTTACCTTTCAGGCCATAGAGGCTGATGTCCAGATGTTGCCATGGCATTTGTAAACTGTCATGGCCATGGTGCTATGGTAATACCTTTTAGCATGCTGCTATTATAGTTAGCCTATAATGAGCAGTGAGGAAGACCAAAAACCACTTTCTTTGCCATCTTGATTTTGGCAGGCTTTGACCAGCTTCTTTACCGTGTCTTGTTTTATCAGCAAAGTCTTCGTGACCTGTACCTTGTAAAATCAATCCTGCCGACCTCCTATCTCATTACTATGCCACTAGGCCTTACACTGTTTTAGTTTTTTG